CTTCTGAACCAGGCGTGGGGGTTCCCGAATCCTGTGGTCTCGATCGCTGAAATCCAGGCCAGGGTTGACTCGTTCATGGATGCGTCTGCATTGGACTGGGAGTGCAACGCCTTGCAGAGCGTCCGCCCTGGCGTCATTATCGAGGAGCTCGTGCTTGCTGAGGACAGCCGGGGGAAGCTGAGCGTCGACGAGTACAAGTTCTACACGGTCTGGGGCCAGGTGATGTTCGGAGAGAGCGTGCCTTTCTCCTCTGGCGCCGCTATGGAGATCTCCCGCGACGGTCAGGTGCTCACCTCGGTCTTGCCATGCCCTCCTGTTTGCCTCTCGCCGTGCTATGACCAAATGGTGCAGAAGGCAGAGCAGATCGCCCAGGGTGCCCGGACAGATTTCCTCCGCGTCGATTTGCTGGTGCACGGGAAGTGCGACGGGCTCTACGTGAGCGAGGTGGAGTTGTACCCGGCCAGCGACTTCAGCGCCCCTCTCAAGGAGCTTGTCGCGCAGCAGTGGCGAAAAGGCTATGGGATTTGACCAGCGGTTACCTGGCATCTTCTCCGCAAGGCGCAGCGAGGAAGCAGCATCCTGAGCATTCGGCGATGCGTCGTAGAGCCAACGGTCGGCGCCCGGCAATCTGACCGAAGGCACATCATCTGAAGTTCAGGACCGTGCCAGCCACCCTGGCCTGCGAGCAGCCTTGGGCCAGGTGGCGAGAACGCCTGCCTGCTCGAGTGGTTGTTCTGGAGGGGTGGTCCAGTCGCGAGCCTTGACCCATGCGCCAGCGAAACCTCAGGGGCGCCACTGTACAATCGGCCGCGGACAGGTCCACAGCCAGCAGGAGCAGGTGATCTTCCGGGCCTCGGAGGGCTCGCCGCCGGGCGCCAGGCTGTTGGCCCAGAGCCGGTCAGCATCCGTCGACGAAGAAGAACCTTGAGGAGCTTATGAGGTAATTATCGAGCTGCCTGCAACAAACTCCGCCACAGTGCCAGCGCACCATTGAAACGTGCTGGGAACATTTCGGCCCGGATCTCCCGAATGGCTAGTCAGAGCCAATTTGGGGCCGGGGGGTCTGGGAAGCAGCCCCACAGTGTTGTAGCGGGGTGTTGGCGTAAGGTTGCATTGCTGTTGCGTTGTTGCGTTGTCATGTGATTTTTCGTTTGGGAAGTCTTGAGGCCGTCTTGGGCACGATGGTTCTATTGAGCTCTTCCGAAGCAGTTCGGTAGACCTGTATCAAGGCCGCCTGTGCCTATCTTGAGGCCGTCTTCGAGCCCTCTTGGGGCGGTTTTTGGCTGCCCTAGAGGCGTCTCGGGGCTCTCTTGCAGGCTTGTTTGGGCCCTCTGGGGACGTCTTGAGGATCTCAGAGGCCTTCTCGGGGCCATCCTGGGCAGAGAAGCATGGGACGCAAACGCAATCGATCACTTACCTGTTTGGGCCGCGCAGAGCCTTGCTGGAGGGCTTCTCGGGCGCGTATTGGAGCCTTCTCGGAGTCTCTTGCATTCCCGTGGAAGCGTCGTGTAGACCTCTGGAGGGGCGTAGATCTTTCTCGGTTTGGCTCTTAGGCATTAAAGTTGGACCGAGGTATAAGATCGAAGTCGGTTCGGAGAGGGTGCCCTGGTGTTCTTCGTGCTTGTTGGATGTTCTCGTGCACTCGGGGGGGGAACCCTCAGATGTTCTGCTTGTTTTGGCCGACGGAGGGTCTCATGTTCTTCAGGCAGGTTCTTCTGGCCTACGGTTGATGGAAAGAACTTTGCATCAACAACGCTCCGGCGACAAAGAACTAGATTCCCCCCCTTCCCCCCCGGCCTTAATATCGGAGTGCGTTGCGATCGAGATTTTGGGTTCAGTTTTCTTCCGGCCGCTCATCTCCGGGACCAACTGCTCAATGTTAAGGCCGGGGGTGCGGGGTCTGTCTTAGAAGTGGTCCCCCAAGTATGGATGCACCGTTTCTTCTTCCAGCGGTAGCTCCGACTGCAGGCCGCGGAGGGGGGGGCGCCGATCTTCCTCGGATGGGCTCTGAAGCACTCTGTGTGGCCATCTCGCTGCAGCCGTGGGCCGCCTTTCGGCGGCGAGCGAGGGAGGAAGTGCGAAGGCGAAGGCCTTCTCGGAGGGCGGCGGGACTTCGCAGAGGCCCCCGCACCTTCGGGGCAGTCTGTGGCACCCCGGGGACCTCCGAGCCTTCTGAGAAGTCCCGCCCCTCCTCACTAACCCCGCTCGCTCGCCGCCCAGCCTCGGACCCGTCCTGGGGCCGGCCCCTCTGGCAGGCAAGACCAGGGGGCGGTACAGGTCCCGGGAGACACGGGTCCTGAGGTGCTGCACCGTGTTCTGGCTTGGGCCCCGGGACGGTCAGGAAACGATGCAGGATGAACAGGAGGTCCTGTGGGACGGCCCCGGGGCCCAGGATCAGAAGGCGAAAACCCGACCACATCCCCAGTCCCGATTCCCATCCCCGAGCCGGCGACTCAAGGGGTGGGGACTGGGGGCGGGGGCGTATTCGCCGTTCCTGGACCCCGAAAAACCACACACCCACCCTTCAGTCTCGACCCCCTGGATCGCGGGTTCGGGGATGGGGTCGGGACTGGGGGTGGGAGTGGGTTTCCCGCTGGTCTCAGGACCCGTTCTCAAGACCCCCGACGTCATGATTTTTTCATGACGCGACCCCCTGAGGTCTGAACCCATTCCCCAGGACCCGTTTTTCGTCCCGAGTCGTTTGTTGATGGCCCCGAGGCCTGCCAAGGGCCCCCAGGAGCCGAAAATTGCGAAAACCTTCCGGCGTGGTTTTTTCATGACTCGAGGGGCTCTGGGCCCCCCCCCTTGCCCAGATGTCGGGGGGGGGAGTCGCCCCTCGAACGCTGCAGCAGGCCTGGCCCGGCAGCCGGCGGGCTCTCCGTCGCGCGCCCTGGCGTGCCGAGAGCGCACGCGGCGGACGAGAGGGCGCCGCTGACCGTGGCTGCGCAGGGCATCAAGCCGTGGCGGAGCGTCCCGGCTCGCCTGTGGGCCCAAGAAGTACTGTTCTGAGAGCCTTTTGTGGTCTGCACGGAATGTTCTCAGAACAGCAATTTCTAGCTGGGACTGTCTTGTTCTAACACACCGGGTTGAATGCTCTAAGAACATTGTTTTTTCTTCTTTTGGGTTCTAAGAACATGTCGTGGTAGGCCTATACTTCTGCCGGGACGGTCGGTCCGTGCTCAAGTGCGGGCGCGTACGCGCGCGCGCGCCTGCCCAGCAGTCCCACTGGCGCGCGCACGCTGAGGAGATCTACGACCGCGTGGAGCCAAGTGGGCGGCGCGAGAAACACGTCACCACCGACCAGACCACGCCAACCCAACCCGAAGGCCTCACTTTGCCCTCCACTTCCAGGGGGGGGGAGGGTCGGGGAGCATTGAGAAAACCCCTTTGGGACCCGTACCCCCCCCCAACCCGAAAGTCGGGTCTTCGGGTTGGGATGGGATGGTCTGGTAGGTAGTCAAGCCGGGGGTCGTCTGCGCCGACATTGGCGCGCAAGCTGCTCGCGCGAGGTCGCGCGTGAGCGCCCCCGTCTCCCGTGCAGCGTGCCGCGCCGGCGGCCCGCGTAAGCCGCCGCGGAAGGTCGCTGCGTCATCTCGCGTACGACCTCGACGACGACGACGACGTGCTCGTCCTCGTCATCGACGATGACGATGGTCGTCGCGTCAAGTGAGCGCTGTGACCGCCCAGGGGGCGAGGGCAGGCCAGCAGCAAGGTGTTCTGATCGATGGCTTCGGCCCTCTGCCACGAGGCTTAGGTCGGGCATGTCCCCCTTGCAGGAGGATTTTGGACGGAAGATAAGACGTAGCCCAAAAAGATGCAAGCATGGTCAACGAGTATTCAACACATCGTCCCCATACGATGTTTGGACTATTTTTGAACACTCCTCCTGTAGAGGGACACGCCCAACTTCATGGGGTTGTGGCGGCATCTGCTGTCGGGATGGGCACGGTTCTTGGCACCAGTGCTGCCATCTTGAGGCTTCGGTTATCCTGGGGCAGGCTTGGCGCAATGCTGGGGCCCCTGAGCCCGCCAGGCCTTCTGAGGCGTCCGGGCCCGCTTTCCTGCTCTCCGTATCTTTTTTTGTTTGTTCTTTCTCTCTCTCTCTCTCTTTCTCTCTCTTTCTCTCTTTGTATCACTCCTTTTCTACCGTTGATGCGCGTGCGCGCAGTGGGCTGCGAAACCGTGCACATGAATACGTGGACCAGCGATGCTGGTAAAGAACACACCCAGGAGCAACGGGACAGGGGGTCAACGCGCTCTCTCTCTCTCTCTCAGCTCTCTCTCTGTCCTCTCTCTTTTCTTCGTTCTCGACCTCCGCTGCCTGCGGCCAACCCCCAAGAGGTCGGCACTCACGCCACGACCTGGCTGGCTCGCACCAAGGGCAATGCCTGCTGCACGCCATAGCACCAGGGCCCCTGACCACCTATCTCTGCGGCGGAGACCACGCGAGGCAGCGGACAGTCGGGGCCGGCGACTCAGCTGACGGCTCCCCCCTCTGCCGCCATTGTGGCGAGGAGGTGGCAACGCGGGAGCACACCAGAGACAAGGGGGCTGGTCCCTTTTGGGGGGTTCATTTTGTTGGTGAGGTGGGCAGGAGTTTGGGGGGGGGTGAGGAGTTGGTGTAGTCCTGCCCCCATCCAGGCGTCTTGGCCACGCTGAGGAAACCCTGCCGGTGCTGGGCCCACCAGCGCCGTCCCCGACGTTGATGTGATGATCACCGACGAAGAGAGTAGCGCGCTGTGTCCCCCCCCCTCGCACACGCAACCGTGGCGTCGTGGAAGCGGACCCGCGCCTCTTCGACCTCCAGGCCGAAGTCTCCGCAGACCCCCCATCGCAGCCCATCCCAAGGCCGGCCCAAGAGGGTGATAGCCTGGACGCGTGCCAGAAGCACAGCCATCAGGGAGGGCACGGGCGCGAGGCGGGTGTGCGCTGCCACGGGTGGGGCGTGCTCCCAGCAGGCCCTCCGCCTCTGGGCCCGAGCGGCCTTTGTGGGACCTTCTGCTGCCCCACGCGGAGGCTCAACTACGCGACCCGGTGTCCCAGAATATTCGGCGAAATGAAATTACTCCAGAGAAAACTCCAATTAGTGGATGGTTCCATCTGGGATCGATAGAGAGATCGATAAGGAGATCGACCAGGAACCCGGGAATCCGGAACCCAACGAAATCGGCGCGGAACCAATAACCAGGAACCCGGGAACCCGGATTTGGGAACCTGGTAGCCCACCTGGTTACCAAAATCGGCGGGAAATTTTCGCCAAATTTTTCAATATCCGCCAGGACCCCTTCAATGCAAGCACTGATTGGGGAGCATCGGCGCTGCTTCACCTGTCTGCCACCGCTGAAAGACCCGTGCATATCGTCGTCGACATCGAGGCCGTCGTTGACGGGTTCCAGGCCCTCTTTGTAGGAGGACCACCACAGCGCCAGGGCAACCAAGCCGACCCGTGGACTCAGGTCCACCAGGTCTTCCAAGCCAAACCCGACATGTTCCGCGTGGAAAAGGTTGCCAGCCACTTCGGGGAGAAAGGAATGGCCGCTGGCCACATCACTGCCGACGCGGAGTACTTCAGCCAGCATGCTGACACGCTCGCCACCGACGCCGTTGCTCTCCATAACATGCCCTTCGGAGTCGTCTGTGGACTCAGGTCCACCAGGTCTTCCAAGCCAAACCCGACATGATCCGCGTGGAAAAGGTTGCCAGCCACTTTATTGAGAAAGGAATGGCCGCTGGCCACATCACTGCCGAGGCGGAGTACTTCAGCCAGCATGCTGACACGCTCGCCACCGACGACGTTGCTCTCCATAACATGCCCTTCGGAGTCGTGGACGCGGCGACGGCTCGGGGCAATTTCGCCGTCACCCTGCGCAGCTTCGCCGTGGCCATCTACGACAAGCGGCACAACACCTCGCCCCTCCCCAACCGGCGGGCGGGATTCGCCGAGCACGAGTTCGAACGCAGAGGCCCACACCCCGACCTCGGAGGTGCCCCGCCCCCGGCCGGTGCGCCACCTTCGCAGCCGCCCGACGACCCCGACGACCACTGGGCTGACCAAGGACCCGATTTGGGCGAAGAAGATCCGTTCATCGTCGGAGGCAGCCCCGGCCAGAGCGACGACGAGAACGACGACGGCGGCGCCGACACAGGTGCCGCGGCTCCCCGCACTCAGGCCGGCCGAGCGGGAACCCATCTCGGCGCTGGCCTGCACCCCCCTTCTGGAGGACAGCCCTGCTACCGCAGGCCTCGAGGTTGACACCAACACCAATATCGGTGGTGTGCCTCCATCGAGGGAAGAAGATCCCGATCTCGATGATGGTGGTAATCTTCTGGCTTTCAAGGTGACCGAAATATTACCACCAACACCGAAATTTAGGATCACCTTCCCCTTGTGGAGGCAACCCCCTGTGTTGGTGTTGCTGCCACTTTCCAGGCCTCCAATGCTAGCTCCTTCGCCGCCACATGGGGCGGCGACTTTCTATCGGGTGAACGTAAGACTCGAGTACGCCGCAACTCGGGCTTGCCGACGCTTTTTGGCGAGCGACTCTTGGATTTTGACGGTCCAGTTGTCGTGGGATGTCTGCCGCGGGGGCTCGCGTCAAATCTCAGATGGGGCCTCATCATTTTCATGATGGCCCCGCCAGGCCAACCTGAGTCCCCCGAGCCCGAGTCTTAACCGAGTGCCCCGCATAAAAATGTACCCCCCCTTAACCCCCTCAATTTTTTAAAACCCTGGTTCAATAGGATTTAATTGTGGAGAGGGGTGCGGAGGCCGAACTTGATAATCCACGGGGGAAGTTGCGAATCGAAGTTGTTATCATCTCATGTTGGCTAGCAACATCCTCAAAAACGCTGAGCATGGCCACGGTGGTCTCACCATTTCAGCTTCCGCAATCACGAGCGTCCGAGGCGAGGGTCGCCAAGCGCCCGTGAACATCAACACGATGTGCTCCCGAGGCAACGAGTGGATCAACAAGCTCAAGGAGGCCAGCGACAACGACTTGGCCAAGGCAGAGAGCAAGGCCAAGCCTTGCAAGGACCCCACGGCGGTCGAGCCGAAGCACGCCACCTTCGAGGAGGCAATCGCTGCCGCCTAAGCGTGCACCAAGTGCTTCCCGTGCAAGGAAGGCTCCAAAGGGTGC